ACTGGTTAACATAGCCTTCATGGCATTTTCTTGGTTATTGTGTTAAAACGTTTATATTCCAAGGGTACAAGTGAATCTTTCTAAGAGTAGAATGTGAATGTTTTAAAACAATAATTAAGAAAATGACATGAAGGCTATGTTAACCAGTTTGATGGAAGTGTTTCAGATTGTATGTGAAAATCCCGCACTGTACCCCAGAAGTGCATTAATGTACATAGTTACCTTTTAATAAAAAAAAAAATTTATATTCTACATTTAGTAAGTTTCACATGTACCCTTGTAAGTGCACCATAGGTGTGGTCCCACCAATTACCCTCCCTCTACTCATTCTCCCTCCTCCCCTCCCCGCCCCTTCCCCATATTCTTAGGCTATAATCCCTAGTTTCATAATAGGACTGAGTACATTGGATACTTTTTCTTCCATTCCTGAGATACTTTGCTAAGAAGAATAATTGTTACAAATTCCTTTTACTAGAGGGTTGTTTGTATTTGACAATTTCTATTAAAAGCCTTAAAAATGGGGCAGCACCTGTGGCTCAGTGGGTGGGGTGCTGGGCCCATATACCAAGTGTGGCAGGTTCAAACTTGGCCCTGGGCAAACTGCAACAAAAAAATAGCCAGGCGTTGTGGCAGGCGCCTATAGTCCCAGGTACTCGGGAAGCTGAGGCAAGAGAATCGCTTAAGTCCAAGAGTGGGAGGTTGCTGTGAGCTGTGACGCCATGCACTCTACCAAGGTTGACAAAATAAGACTCTGTCTCACACACACACACCCCCCAAAAAAGCCTTAAAAATGGCCAGGCATAGTGGCTTATGACTATAATCCTAGGACTTTGGGAGGTCAAGATGGGAGGATTGCTTGAGCCCAGGAATTTTAAGACCAACCTATAGCAAGACCCTATCTCTACATTAGCAGGGTGTGATAGCAGGCTCTTGTAGTCCTACAAGTTGAGACAGGAGGATTGCTTGAGCCCAGGAGTTCATAGCTGCAGTGGGCCACTGCACTACAGCCTAGGAAACAGAATGAGACCCCATCTCTTAAAAAAAGATAAAAATAAAATAAGATAAGATAAGATAAGAAAGTAAAAAAAGTCTACAAATCCTTTTACCTAAATTATTATTACTAGAATTTTATTCTAAGGAAGCAAGCAATGTGTTACTTCCTGAATGATTTGTCCAGCAGCTGGTATAAGCATTGATTGTGTTATTAAGCCGCACAGCATCTCAACCACCATTCTATGTCTGCAGAACTCCCGAGCATATGAAATGGCTTTCCCAATATAGAACTTGAGAATGCCAAATACTACTTCCCATTCTTCACTGTGGCTAGGATGTAGGCATGTGACCAAGGCACAACCCAGACACTAGAGACTTTTACTCCAAATCTAGTAAAATAAAGAAGCAAGGACACCCCCAGTTCTATTTTTTGAAGAGTTGGAGGCAATTGTATTTCGTTCCGAAGTCACAGTTCAGACTGACATACAGCACCCTGTGTTTGTTTGTTTGTTTGTTTTTTCAGCAGACCAGTTCGGTGTTGTGTGCTTTCGGTGTTACTCCTGGAATTCTAACTCCTACACCTGAGTATTATAAGTTCTTTGATGTACCCAATAGCCTATACATTAATTTATTTCCTATTTAAATCAACCAGAGCATTTTTTGCCCCCGCTGGCTTGCAACTAAGAAGTCCAACTGTGTTAAAACAGCTTTATTTGTAACATTAAAAATTAGACACAGTAGAGATCAGTTGAAGTAAATTTTATATCCATAGGATGGCACTATTCAACCTTTAAAAATTATGCAGTATTTCTAAGTTTGAGGATTTTAATCAGAAAATGAATTTAGAATAAGACTTCAGACGTTCAAAAAGTTGTTGGAAAGGGCAGCGCCTAGGTCTCAAGGAGTAGGGTGCCAGCCCCATATATACCAGAGGTGGTGGGTTCAGACCTAGCCGTTGCCAAAAACTGCAAAAAAAAAAAAAAACGTTGTTGGAAGAAGACCCCTGGATTAACTAAAAGCAATACAGCAGATCCACGGGGATGCTGCTCGCTCTGATGCCAACACAAGTTAGGAAGGAAGTACTCACCCCTATCTCCCACACCCAGGAAACCATAGTTTCCTTTGTGCCTGTGATTGGCACAGTTTACCCCAGTTCTTGACACCCAGAAGCTGGAAAATGGATCTGGTAATGCTGCTATAGAAAAGCCTCACAGGCTTCGGCACCCATAGCACAGTGGTTATGGCACCAGCCACATATACCGAAGCTGGCGGGTTCGAAGCCGGCCTCGCCCTACTAAACAACAATGGCAACTGCAGCCAAAAAATAGCCAGACATTGTAGCAGGCGCCTGTAGTCCCAGCTACTTGGGAGGCTGAAGCCAGAGAATTGCGTAAGTCCAAGAGTTAGGGGCTGCTGTGAGCTGTGACACCATGGCACTCGACCAAGAGGGACATAGTGAGACTCTATTTCAAAAAAAAAAAAAAAAGGAAGAAAGAAATGGAAAAATGGGATAAAAATACACATTTATAAAAAAAAGAAAAGACTCGAAGTGCAAATATTGAATTTTCTCTTGATAATATTTTACTATTTCTTTGTGCTTTTCCTTAACAAATTTTTAATTATTCTTATAATCATAAATACACATTATTCTTTAAATAGAAAAGCACTCCTTTGAAAATTTAGACATGTTACCAAATAAATGAAATGGGGCTTATTTACATTTGTGAAGGATTTGCTAGATAAACCCTCTGGTGTGTTATAAGTGTATTACATGTGGGCCAAGGTTTTCCTGTTCACTCCTCAGAGAGTCTGAGTAAGACTGAGAACAGGCTTCTACCAACTTAGAGTTATTTTATTGTTTAAGCCAGTGTGCCATGAAAAAATTTGGGAGGTACCATTATCCTGGAAATGTGCATCTGTAGCACGCTTTAACTTGATTCAATTCATTTAAAACATACTCATTAAAAATAATAATAAATAATTTTATGACTAATACCCCTAAGAAGGACTACCATGTATTAAGTACTTAATCATCTGCCAGGCACTGTCCTAATTACTTTATATCTATTATCTCAGTTAATTTTCATGACAGCCATGTGAAACTTAGGCATTATTACTCTGCTGTTTTAGATGAGCGAATGGATGCCAAAATGTTAAATTAGTAACTGGCTAAAATCTTGAATGAAAGAAGTGGCATTCTAATGTAGGTGTTGTCTTATTTGAATATCCCTACTCTTAACAAGTATACTATACTGTGCCCATTTTTTTGGAAACCTATCAATTATGTAAAGCAAAGTACTTATGTAATCATCAGACAATGATACAAGTAGAACAGGGGCTTCTTCACCGTCTCACTCCCATCAGAGCGTCGTTTCCAAGAGCGCAGAGAGCTTGTCTGTCTTAGCCCCTTAGCACACTGCTTGGAACATTATAGAAACTTAGATATTTGTTGCATGAATAAATATTCACATGATGATTGTTAGACTTGTGGTTCTCTACTCTGGCTATACATCAGAATTGCCTGTAGAGCTTTAGAAACATTCAAAAAGTCAGGAGTCTACCCCATCTCCCAAATAGCATCATCAGGGGAGGAACCCAAGCAAGCATATTTATTTAAAGATCTCTAGGTGATTCTAATGCTTAGTCAAGATGCAGAAATTATACAACAGTGGTTCCCTTGAATGTGTATTAGAATTACCTACAGAACTTGTTAAAAGACAGATTGCTTGACCCCCACTTCAGGAGTTTCTGTCTACTAGGTCCGAGGTGGAACTTGAGAATTTGCACTTCTAACAAGTTCCTGGGTAATACTGATGCTCTTGGTCTGTGGATCACACTGTTAAGAACTACTATCCTAGAGGATTGGTCCTAAGGGACCAAACCAGAACATTTTTACTTAGGACTTAAGCAGGAGCTTTCGTCAGGCCAAAATAAATATTGATCATTCAAGCAACACAGGTTTTAGTTGTAGTCTTCAAAACACCCAGGAGAGTGCCATAATCATTGAGCTTATTGCTCCAAAAATTTCTTAGAACAATGGCATACCAGTTTGCTAATCCTTAGTGAGAAACATTTCTTTGGTCCATTTGACCTTGAGCTGTTTGAGCCCACAGAGGCCACTTTCTGCCCTATAGGAAAGATAGCCTCATCTGTCAGGCACTCTGGCTCCATGTCAGCAAAGCCTCCAAGCAGGTATGGTGTTCAGTCCCCAGAACACCTCCCTCTTGTTCACAGAGAAAACCTCCAGCTTTTCCTCATGACTTCTCTCTTCTTCAGTGATCTGTCTATATTAGACCCACAGGAACTGTATTAAAGGGCCACAGCATTAGGAAGGTTGAGAACCACTGGTCTGTATCCTAAACCAGGAGAGCTAGCAACAGGAGCTTTGACAGAGTCTTTTTTCTGGTATTATTTGAAGAACCAAAGTTCGCAGATGGTATCTAGTCTTAGAGTATTAAAAAATTACCAGACAGGCTCAGCAGCGCCTGTGGCTCAAGTGGCCAAGGCACCAGCCACATACACCCAAGGTGGCAGGTTCGAATCCAGCCCAGGCCCACCAAACAACAATGACGGCTGCAACCAAAAAATAGCCAGGTGTTGTGGCGGGCGCCTGTGGTCCCAGCTACTTGGGAGGCTGAGGCAGGAGACTCGCTTGAGCCCAGGATTTGGAGGTTGTTGTGAACTGTGATGCCACAGCACTCTACCCAGGGGGACAGCTTGAGGCTCTGTCTCAAAAAAAGTACCAGATAGGCCAGTGTGTTTCCATTATCTGCAGGTGCACCTAATAGAAATGCACAAGAGGTGTTCGGTACCAGTGAACACCAGGCTTTGGATGAAAATTCCAGGCTTTTATGTCTTGCTGTTGTGCCCTGCACCTAATAGTATTTGGCTTGGTTTTTTAGAGTGACTTCCATGCCTGGTGCTTTTTTGCTATGTCTTTTATACATTTTTAATTGTTTGGAAGAGCTGCTGGGGTTTTACAAATGATGTTTTTCTCTTCCTTTTAGGTCTGTCTGCAATGCAATCAATGTTTACAACCTCACCTGCAGTAACTGTTTAGAAAACTGCACTGATGTTCTGTTTAGTAACAAGATTACCTTCTTAATGGACCTCCTGATACACCAGTTGGAGGTATGTAATATTACTGCTTTGTGTTAGAAGCTGTTAAGGTTTGAGAAATAGTCCCTATGGAAAAAACTAAAAGAATTCAGCTTATTTGCTCTCCAGATTTAAAAAAAAAAAAAAAAAGTTAAGATGACAGGAGAGTAAAGAGGGACTGGCAGAGAAACGTAATAATTTTAAAATTTTATAGCAGATTCTTCTAAGTTCTGATATTTAATGGATGGTAGACTTGTAGCACTTGTTGAAATCACAACTTACTGAGTTAAACTGGGGCTTTGGAATCATGACCCAAAGTCAAACCTCTAAAGCGACAGCAATGGGAGTTACAGAGGGAAGAAATCTGGGAATGACGCAGAGCCGCAGAGCCTCGTAGCCAGGTTAAGTAGAAGGGGTCAGTTTACAGTGGACTTTTGTTGGTTATTTAGACTTTAAAAAAAAGAAAGAAAGAAAAAGTAAACTCCTCTGTCAGAAAGGGGCAAACCTGTTCTACTTTGAAATGGGAACAAGCAGCCAATTGTCACCTTAAATTTTACTTCAGGTCACAGATATTGAATGAAGTAAGTTCAGTATAATAGCTAAAGCTTCAGGTCTGTCAACTGTAGTCACCAGCAGTTTCCTGGTGAAATTTCTGAGCCCCTGAGCTATTGCCACAAAATCACTTCCAGCTTCAAGTTTATAACACAGATATTTCAGAACCATTTACTTTGACTCAACACACAGATAAAATAACTCTTCCTTAAACTACATGATTTTTGCTATCTTTCCTCCACCAACTGGTTAATTCCTACACATTTTCCAGATATTAACTGAGGCATAATGGCACCTTCTTCATGAAATCTTCCCCAACCTGTTTCCCCAAGCCCAGGTTAAATATACTTCTTACATGATCCTAGGCATGACATCTCTTACAGAATCGATCACATGGAATTATTTATTTACTTATTCATTTTCCTCACCAACCATTAAATCTATAGGAAAGGAAGTAACTTTTCACTATCTCCAAGATTCTAATGCAGGCCTGGCACTGAGGAGATTCAACATGTAATTGAATTAATATATGAGTGAAATGAATTTCCACACATCACAAGCTGAAAATTGGAAATCAGATTATAAATCCCTTACAGGCAGACATATTGACATTGAGAGGGGACAGCAGTGAGGGAAAACAAACCAAAACACAGAAGTGAATGTTACACAGCATTAGTGATAGCAGCGAATCGTCAATCAAAGGCTAAATTATATGTGGTTTCATCTACAAAAGAAGGCATTAGACTGGGCATGGGGGCTCACACCTATAATCCTGGCACTTCTGGGAGACCAAGGCAGGAAGATCTCCTGAGCTCTGGAATTTGAGACCAGCCTGAGCAAGAGCAAGACACCATCTCTGCTAAAATAGAAAAACTAGCCAGGTGTTGTGGCAGACACCTGTAGTCCTAGCTGCTCAGGATGTTGAAACAAGAGGATCACTTGACCCCAAGTGTTTGAGGTTGCTGGGAGCTATGACACCATGGCATTCTACTCAGGGCAGCTGAGTGAGACTCCATCTCCAAAAAAAAAGGCATTTATATATGGATAAGACGCATTCTGTGTTTATTCTGCTCTTTGAATTTTGCCCATTTTAGCAAAAAACAATTCTATGAAAAATAGTTGAAAGCACAAGGAGAAAAGACTTAACATTTATTGAATGGCCTTATTGCCCAGGTATTTTAATATATATTGCAAAAAAACAATTCTATGAAAAATAGTTGAAAGCTAGCACAAGGACAAAAGACTTAACATTTATTGAATGGCCTTATTACCCAGGTATTTTAAAATATATTGCATCATTTAATTTTCAAACAGCATCTTAAAGTCAATATTATTCCATTTTGCAGATGATGAAACTTGAGTTCTAGAGAGGTTAACTTACCCAAGGCTACATAGATGTTAAGTCACAGAACCAAGAATTAAACCTAGGTTTGTCAAACCCAAACTGAGGGATATTCTACATAATAATCATTTTCAAAAGTTTTAATGTTGTGAAAGATAAGGAAAAAGTGAAGAACTATGAAATGGAGGAGACTAAGGAGTTAAGTGTAGAGTTGGATCCTAGACCAGAAAGAGAACATTAATGGGAAAACTGGGAAATTCAAGTAAGATCTATAGAAAATTACTTTGATTGGCTCCGTGTTAATTTCCTCCTTTAAATAATTATACTATGTATGGTTTTGTAAGATGTTACTAGTAGGGGATACTAGGTGAAAGTAACTCTCAATTTTTGCAACATATTTATTGATTTTTAATTATTTCAAAGTGAGAATGAAAAAAATATATCAAAACCTTATACTCTCTAACCATTTTATATCACATCATCTGGAAAAGTTTATTCTGTGAAACTTGTTCCAATGTTGACAATGGAAGAAGAGACATTACTTTGAACAGCGTAAGTAATGAAAGAGAATGAAATGGGAAGAAATGAACAAGAAGGCTACAGAAAAGAATCTTAACTCTTTACTCTTTTCTTGTCAAAAGCTATTTTTATTGAGGAAATTAGTGTGGAAAAGTTCATTTATTCCCTCACTTAATGATGATTATGAACCTGTTATTTCCAGTTCCAGAGAAGCACAAGATATGGGGAACCTCTCGGAAATCCTTGCATAGGAGTAGGAACAGAAATATAGGTGACATGTTTTCTTAGTTTGAGCTGCCAACATAACACCAAATACTAGGTGGCTTATAAAAGAAATTTATTTCTCACAGTTCTGAAAGCGAGAAATTCAAAATTAGGATGCCATGAAGGTCAGGTTCTGGGCGGACCCCTTTCCAGCTTGCAGACTACTGACTTCTCACTGTATCCTCACGTGGTGGAAAGAGACTGAGTTAGTTATCTTGCTTCTTTTTTAAGGGCACTAATCCCATTTATGAGAGCAAAGCCTCCCACAGCCCCATCTCTAGATATCATCACATTAGGGATTAGTTTTCAACATATAAACTTTGAGGGGAACACAAGTATTCAGTCTCTAACACATACACTAAATGCTATGATGGCAGCCTATAGAGAGTGCTGCAGGAACCCCAGGGAAGGTGTTCAGTATTTCTGTCTGGGATGTCACAGAGTAGGGACATTTGAGATCTAGTTCTTAGCTTCTCAGAGTAGATGTCATTTATTAAGTGCCAGTCATGTGCCAGGAGCCTGTAAGTACCTTGGTCATTTCCCTCTTCTTTGAAAGCCCACGTTTCCTTTGAATAATATTCACTTGCTTATGACCTCAAGGTTTCTTGACATTCATAAAAGCTCTTAATCTGTCTATCAATGAATTTGACCACATTCTGTGTTTATTCTGCTCTGTGAATTTTGTTCAGTTTGGACCTGGAATCCTGGGACATTTGTTTGCCAAACACATTTATCCCTCCTTTCCTTATACGTGGTACTTCCTAGTTTTTTCAGTTCCTTCGATTACTTTATTTTACTGCTGTCAGTTCTGACATTGCTGTGGCAGTGTTTGTGGCAGTGAGCAGAAGAGGATGTTTCTCATTTTCAGTAGTCAGTGATGGTGATCTTCATGTTTCTGGAAACCATTTAAGTACATTTCATGTAAAAGTGTTTTCATTTTTCTTCCTAACTGGTTGTAATATACACATAACTGAAATATGGACCAATAACTTGCTAGTGTCCTTTAAATAGGGGTTAAGAAATAGTCATTGACACATTTTCCAACAGGAATAGAAAATAAAAGAAGCTAATTAAATGTGATCTGATGTTCTTAATAAGACACCTGATTATCAGTTACTTCAGCATTTCTGGTTCTTTAGTAAATCCAGATGGTTTAGAAGACATTTTTTTCCAATCCAGCTTCTTGCAGTTGTTTTAGCACTCTTGTATATCATTTTAATTACTATTTGCAAAGCATTGTACAAATGCCAGGGTGACAGAGGTCCTTCATTTTAGAAGTGCACAATTAAGGAAGGAAGAAATTGCATGAATAAATATTAAAGACGAAGAGAAACCATGAGAAATTCTGTTACATCATCAGAGCTACAAAGTAGCCCAAGCAGAGTACCTAGCACATAATATATGTTTGTGAAATATTTGATGAATGAGTAAATTCTAACCTGAGGAATTAAGGAGGCTTTTGAGAGAAGTTAGTTTTGATTATACCTTGAATATTAGCAAAACCTTTACAATTCTGGGTTTACAAAAGATGAATTAGTGATGTGACACTAAAAATACATGCTTCCCCTCCCCCTTGAGTTATAGATGAAAAGTAGTTTTTATTTATTTCAGGACAGTTCTTACTTGGAACCCTGCAAACCAGTTCATTTAGACAAATTTCCCCTGGGAATGAAAGCTAACACCAATGTATTACTTTCCATAAAGCATGGAAGTTTTAAAATATGTTAACAATAATTTCTTACATCATTCAATAAGTGATTGTTAAGTATCTCCTCTGGGCCTAGGTCATAGAATAGTGGCACTTTAACCTCAAGATGTCTTCTTGGAAGACCAGATATGCACATTGGGAGACAATAAAAAGACCTGGGGAAAGGGCAAGAATAGGAATTCCCAGTCTTTGTTCCCCCACAGAGATACTTAACAACAGTATAAGGACCAAAATACCTTTAAGAGATCTCCAGAAACCAGTTAAAAAATTGCAGTACACCAGGGAGTCTCAAAGCCAACAACAGCCACATTGACATGTGTAAAAAGAGCTATTTCACTTGGCCTATGATCACCTCTCTAAGCCAACAGTTTAGTGCCAAGAGAGAATGCTCTGACTTGCAGTTTCTCTTGGGATGGGGTGGGGCAGGCAATGGCATATGGATTCAGGGGCCGCCTATAGGACTGATTTCTGCAATGCCTGATTCAAAGCTCTGAGAAAACCAGCATAGTTTGCATTCCTGGTAGCTATTGAGTCCAAACAACAGAGGAGTAGCTTGCTCCAGCACCAAAGGGCCTATAATACCACACACTGAGGTTAGTACACTTTGGCATGGTAAGGAGAAGTCACCCAACTCTCAACTTCTCTTTT